CCCACGGCCTTTGGCTGCCTGCCCTGCCCCATCTGGCTGCCTCTGTGGGGGCCTAGTCCACCTCTGTGGTTTTCTTCCCTGCTAGCGGACAAGTGGGGCTCCGAGGAGGTGGCAGCTTGGCTGGAAGCGCTCGGTTTAGGGGAGTACAGAGACATTTTCGTCCGGCATGACATCCAGGGGTCTGAGTTGATCCTGCTGGAAAGGAGAGACCTGAAGGTACAACCTCCCTTGTGCCCCCCTGCGGGACCCCCAGCCCCGGGGACCCCGGGGTCCTCCATACCTCCTCTCCCCCTCCCTGGAGGGAGGGGGGTAAAGCGGGTGCTCACCCTGCACCTGGGCCCAGCCCCGCAGGGCTGAGCTTGCACCACTTGTTTAGCTTGCACACAGGGGCTGGAAGCAGGGGAGGGGGTTGGCCCTGGCCCCCCAGCTTGCAAGGCTCTGTACACCTGCCCAAAGCAGGATCAACAGCACCATGCACTCTCCTGCCCCCAGGCATGGGGACATGCTTGCAAGGGGACAGAGGGCTCCTAGCAAGGACCATGCGCTGGCACAGAGACCAGGGGGAGCTGGGCTTTGCAGCCTTGTCCTCCGCCCCGCAGCTTCCCTGCCAGCGAGAGCTGAGGGCTGGTCCCCTCCGAGCCCATCAGCTCCCCTTCTCTCCTTTCTGCAGGACCTGGGGATCACCAAAGTGGGCCACGTGAAGAGAATCCTCCAGGCCATTAAGGAGCTCAGCAACCCTCCCTAGGCCAGCAGTGGGGCAGCAGCCCAGCCCACACACTGGGTGCTGCTCCTAGGGACTAGGGGTCAGGCAGGGGGGCTCCAGGTCCCCGCTGTGCCCCATGTGTGTGGAGGCCCCTGCTTGCCTTGCTTTGTCTGTCCCCCGGTGTCCCTGGAGCTGCTGCTTCTCCCCAAGCCTGTTGGGCTGGAAACACTAAAGCGGAGGTCTAGCCCCATGACTCCCAGTCTAGCCCACGGCAGGGTCACTACAGAAGCTTGGGCTGCCATATGTGTGCCCAAGCTGGGGGCAAAGCGAAGATCCCCCTTCCCCATGTGGGTATTTAAGCTGTGTAAATATTTGGAGAAAAGATCCTCATTGCTGCTGCTTGTGTAGTGTCGTTGCTTAGGGGAAAGGGAGGGGTGTGGGGAGGGTGATGGGGACCTGGCCCTTTCACCCCTCATCTTATTGCTGTCACCCCTTCCTGCTCCCCATCATGCACCCCTCCCTGCCCCGACACAGCTCAGGGGCTCAGCGTAATCTCCACCACCATCCCCTACCCTTGTCCCAGCAGCCACCACTGGCATGTAAGACAAACACAGTATTTTATTGACAGCTCCACATGACTTTTTTTCCCGCCCCCCTCCCCTAAAATTGCTATTATCTATGTACATAGTGCTCCCGTGCCAGAGAGCACCCAGCTATTTACAGGCTATTTACAGACACAGGGCTAGCAGCTCTTCAGTATCTCCTCCAGCTTGAGCATGTCCATGGGGGTGACTTTGGCAACCTCAAAGAAGACCCTGGAGGAACCATGTTGGCTTAGAGCTCAGCCACAGCCCTGACACCCATCCACCAGGGCCCCCCAGATCTCTGCAGCACCCAAGGGTGCGTGCTGGTGGTGCCACCCTCTGCAGAGGGGCAGGCATGAGGCAGAGCCCCATGATGCTCACCTGTGTGAATACTTGGTGCGCACGGCCTTCAGCTTGTCACGGGGCTGGTATGTGAGCAGGAAATTCAGCCTCTTCACCAGGGGATGCAGGTCCTGGGAGCGGTACCCACTGTAGTACTCCAGCGTGGGGGTCTGCAGAGGGAGAGTGGGGCTGAGCTGGGTCCTCTCAGCGACGGTAGAGCCATCATCTTCCCTCTCCAGCCCCCCAAATCTGAGCAGAGCCCCAGAGCATCACCCCCGCACACCGGTCCATCCACTCCTGCACCCCCGTGGTGCCTCCCAGGGTGCCTCGGTCGGGACAGCAGGTCAGGCAGGCGCTTACCCAGCCACCAAGGTTCTTCATGGTGAGTGCCAGCAGCAGGCCTCTCAGCGACGGTAGAGCCATCATCTTCCCTCTCCAGCCCCCCAAATCTGAGCAGAGCCCCAGAGCATCACCCCCGCACACCGGTCCATCCACTCCTGCACCCCCGTGGTGCCTCCCAGGGTGCCTCGGTCGGGACAGCAGGTCAGGCAGGCGCTTACCCAGCCACCAAGGTTCTTCATGGTGAGTGCCAGCAGCAGGCAGCTAGGAAGCGGGCTAGCGTCAGTGTCTCCATGGTGGCACGGGCACACTACAGCCGGACAGGCACGGAAAGGCTCAGTCTTTCGAGCAACGCTGCTCCGCCTCCCCCAACCTTTTTGGGATCTAGAGTGCTGCCCCTGGGGCACAGGGCACAGCTCCCACACGCCCAGCCTGCCACAGACCAGCATCCTCAACCCTGTTGGGGGGGCCTAGCCAAACCCTCCTTGCTGCCAGCTGGGAGCCCAGGGCCCTGGGAATGCACATCACCACCCCATGGAGCCAATACAAGGGGTGCCTGGAGGCACCTTGACACCAGCCCACCCTCCTGTTGCACCCACCTTGGCAAAACGTCGCAGGAACCGATAGGGGATGGGGATGTTGATGTCAAACTTGAGGGTGCTGAGGATGCTCATCTCCATAGCAATGAGCTCTTCCCTCTTGTAGGCATCATCACAGATGTAGAGGAAGTCATCCACGCACGGTGGGCACCGCTCCTGCCGGGGCACAACTGCTCTGCTTAGCACCCTAATGGGTGTTCCTGTGAACACTCAGGAAATCCTACCAGTCTGCAGGCCCTGTAAGGGCTCATGCCCTGCCAGACCCCGAAAGGACTGTTACAACATCCAGGGGGGCTTGTGTGTTGTCTCTACTGCCCCAACCCTTGGCTCTAACTCCAAGCCTTGCTTGCGTGAGGTGAACTCAGGTGTCCTGGTGGTCTCTGCAGAGCAGAGAGGCTCCAGATCTCCAGTGACACCAGGAGACAAGATCCAGCCCACCAGGACTGCATTCGTAGCCCCTGGGATAGGAAGGGGTAACACAAGGACAGACATGACTCCCCAGCAGCCCTCAAGGCAGTGGCCTGGCACCGCAGGGACCTGGCCTTCTTCAGTAACCCATGGCGACCAGAGAGCTACAGCCCCCTCTGCCCCAGCACCCCAAGACAGTGCACAAAGAGTCACCTCAAATTTGGAGGCGATGAGGATGGCAGTGGAGCCAATGAGCTGCAGCTTGTCTCTCATGCTCACCACCTCAACCAGGTAGTGGTCCACCAGCTTCACAGCCAGGTAGAGCGTCTCGTGGTTCAGCTCAAAGTTCTCCTGCAAGGATGCGGGCAGGGGGGCAGGAGTGGGTATCAGGCAGAAGCTAGGCCCACCTGGTTCCCTCACAGGGGCCAGAGGTGCCCACGGAGCCAGGCTCAGAGGGAGGGATGCAGGCTCATCCCCAGCCTGGGGAGGGGGAAGATCAGCTCTGCACTGGGGACACTCGCAGGAGCCTCTGCCAGCATACTGTGGTCCCACACGCCAAAGGCAGGGTGGGGGCTGCTCTGCAGAAGGCCATGCCCCCTCCCCATGCCCACGTACCTGCACCTCCACCATCCAGTCCACTAGGATGGCACGCATGTCCCCGCTGATGTCTGGCTGCTTCTCCATGTAGTCGGGCAGCATGAATTTCTCCTGCCGAGGTACCAGCTGTACCCCGCCACCCCCAACCAGGCCCCCCCCCTGCCCCATACAGGCCCCTGCCAGGTGCTCAGAGCCTCTGGGCAGCAGGTAGCCCTGCCCATACGGTCACCCCTTCCCCAGACAGGGCTGCCAGCCCCTGGCCAGGCATCACCCACCTCTCTTCCCCGCATGTATTCGAAGATCTCCTTGGCGTACTCTGCATTGGCGTAGGGGTCACCCAGCTGCTCCTTGTCTATGTTCTCCACTGCTGGTACCTGGTGGGATGGAGGAGGCAGTGGTAAGGGGGAGGCCCTGAGCCCTGCGGGTGCTGGTCACCCCTTCAGGGCAAGGCTGCTGCACATCTGCACCCCCTTCCCCATCTGCCCCCATCACCCTGCAGCCCCCAC